GCCCTGGTGCCCATACTCGCATGCAGCCGACTGTTCGGTACTGGTGATGCCTGACCGACATAAAGATCCTCATCGACTTGGGGGGGGGGGGGGTCCAGTTGGCGCAAACGGCCCTCCGACTGGTACTGGAGGACCCAGTTCTTCGGGCCGAGCTCTTTAATGTGACCTCCGACCGCCCGTTGGACTTTCCGAGCCCTCAATTCGGGCCCTCTATTGTAGGTCTCGGTTGGCTCTTGGGGCACGTGCCCCTCATGTTCTTCCTACCTGCGACACGGCTCATGGCTCATTCATTTTCGTTTGCGACCGTTCTTGGTCGTCTGGAGACCCGAAGACGCCCCACTTTGTTGTTTTATATTTTAAAAAAACTGCGTCCTTTCGGCCGGTTATGGGGCCCTCTCGATCCCGGGGGGGGGGGGGGGGGCATGGCCCCGTCCCCCTAGATCCGCCACTGCCTGCAAATGTTTACCAGAAGACTTTTTACATTGATCGGGCTAAACGACGATGCAGTGGTGGATGATGCACAACGGGACAGTGGAAAGGCCCTGTGTCCGAGGTCCCAGTACTGAACGAACGTTTACCCTCTGCATCGTTTCAGTTAAGAACCGATAAGCGGGATTTGTGTCTCGATACCAATTATCAGGCAAGTCTGCCGCCGTCGAACACTAGTCTGCCCACATGTTCTTGCAAGTGAAAGGTTGTTTTGCCTGCTCGTACGGACAAATGAATGCAGGTACACATTTCCGAGGTCTACGCGATGACGATTTCCCTTGGCACCTTGGCCTTAGGGCAGCAGTTTCTCATGCTCCGATGAATTTTTACGCGCGAATACCACAAATAGTTCTATACGCAGCTAGCATCGTATACGTCCTCGCCATTGGTTATTGCAGTTGTGACGCTTTTACACCTGTGGGTCACGTCTATCAGCCATCAGCTGATCGCACCGACTAGCCGGCTAGCCCTAACTAACCTTGGAATAAAGTGCCGTGATTGATGATGATGATGACATTTATAAGCCACCTTTTGCCCGTTTCTTATGCATTATCCGAAATACTCTGAATCAAGGTGAAAGGATTTGCCATGATCTGGAGAGAATAAGGATCCACCATGACCTGGAATAAATGACTGTGCTCCATGTTTAAAAATACGTACCACGCCCACTTACCCACGGCTGCGCAAGGAAATTGGCTGCCCGTATAGCAAGAAGCTTCGCAACAATCTTAACTTTAATGGCCGGGATACGGGGCCCTCATTGTCACAGGGGGTCTCCGATCGGTGCAAGAGGTACTCTGACATTTGCGGGTCTGCCCTTCGGGTTGCGGCTCCCCCATATGACGCGCGCCTGGTCTTGGCAGCAGAACTGAGCGTCGGGCGATGACCCTCATACCGGTCTCTTGATTCGCGGGACGATATTTCCCTGGCGAATTCAAGGGTGATGATGCGTTCTGTGCATACGCTGGACATGAACAGTCAGAAGTTACGTGACTCGAGTGATCTTTGCCCGCAGTTTACAAACCAATGCCGCTCTGCGGTGCACCGCTCCGCTGTGTGATCCGATGACTAACACTTGCCACAGACAGCCTGGTTACGGCCGGTGCTTTTCGTGGGCCCACACCTCTGACACCCAAAACATCGCATGGAGTTTGGCATAGAACGGCGGACCTTCATCTTGGTGTAGCTTACTTTCATGTCTGGCGGCAGCTCTGTTCTGCCAAAAGTAAGACCAATGTTGTTGGTGGTATCAGGTGCGTACCCCGCCGCATCTTAATCCGACGAGCTTCCGTAACCACATGTTCTGTCTGGCCTTTCACAATTTCCTCCGCGCTCACGCCCTTCAAGTCATAGCAAAGACAATGCCTTAGCACACTTCTTGGTATTATGGATCACTGCCCTCAAGCCACATTTCTCGCTTTCCCTCTCCGTCCACCACGCTGTACGCAGACTGGGTAGCAGTCATCGCTCGCTTGGCTTCCTCTCCGTCACTAAACTCCACCTCGATACAGCTATTTCAGAGCCTATCGCAATGGGCCACAGTGCCGACGTGATCACATGCATTTCACGCTGAAACGGAAATAAATCTGAAAGGGTTTTGTCGTCACTCCGAAAGACCCAGATCAGGGGAGCAGGGGCAGAGCCGCTCAAGCTGGGCACGTCGCCGGTCCGGTACCTGTGCGGGGCCGGCGGGGACATTCAGTGTTTGGATTAGGCATGCAGTGTGGTTTCGGGACTCCGAAGGTGCTATACGGGGCGAAAGACGCCTCCCACAGGGGCGGGTGCAACCAGGAAGACCCGCCTCGTCCTGACCGTGATTCAGCGCTGCCGCCCCTTGACTCCTTAAGCCACCGTGCACAGCCCAGGCGGAGCTCGGCGATGGGCATCCGGCATGCAGCACGGGTGATAAGCCACTCGACCCGTGTGGAACACTGCGGACCCCCGCACCGCCGGATATTCCGAGCAAAGAGGAGTGGTGGCGTGCGCCACGGCCGACCCACACGATGCGCCCCTTAGCCACCAGGATCCGACAAAGCCGGGCACCGGGGAAGATTGTTGAGAGGCCCGGAGGCGGGAATGTGGGCGGCGGGCGTTAGCAGACGAGACGAGGAGCAGGAGCTAACGCACCGGCAGGACACTAGGACCTGAAATGATCAGTTTATGCTGTCCACCCGTTACCGGAGCTGGGACTCGAGGAGGCGCCATTTCGCTATCCCCACCGAAGTCGACGCCACTGCCGAGGAAACGTTATCAGTACATCTGTATATGTATCTGTAACAGTATTACGATCCATGATCCATACGATCCATCCAGTAAGCGACCCGAGTGTTACCTCCCAGTTATCATTTCGTAACCTATATATGGATGCTAGTACGAGATCCTTGGACTTAAATACTACAAACTCACTGATGCTGGTATCTACATGAACGCAGCCAGCGAATGCCCAAAGCGCTATTCAATGGCCGCCATCTGTTCTTTTCAACGTCCGGCTCCCAAATAACGTTCTTATTGGTCCAACACGCACCAGTAACTTGAACGGTGCAAGAAACTACCTGTAAACGACGGTGACTTCAATAGGGTAGTGGAACGAAAGGTCACGTTCGTAAGAAGTCCCAAAAACTGGAACCACACGACATGAAAGCGAGCCATCAGCTGTTCGTAAGTTAAAGGGAATGTCCCACATTTGAAGATATTGAAGCATCAGATATGATGAAACAAGCCCACTTATAACTTATTAGTATACTTTTAGGTGAAAAATGTCGCTCCAGACAATACAATTTCTCCGTTTAGTAAAATTGTTCTTCAGCTCGTCGCTGTTTGATTGCGCCATAGAACCTTGAACACCACTGACTGAGAGCTCATTGACGGCCGTTATAACTGGAAATTATGCTCACTAACGCCAGGTACAAACGACTCAACAATCACATTTTTATCGGCGTTGATCACCACATGGACAATGAAAGGGCTGGCTTTAAATGACGTCATTATGGCGTCATGGATGCCTGGGTTTCCTCGAAATGGTCTCCCTGAACTAGTCCGCACATCTTCGCGGGCGTGCAGCTCAAAAACTGCAAGAGTGTAGGTCTGAAGAAGGGCAATCCTGCGAAATACACCGAATGCAGTGTGGTGCAGAATCTCAGGGCCGAGAATTGCATCGAATGCAGTTCTCGGAACCAGCTGGTGCGGAATCTCATGGTTGAGAACTGCAGAGAGTGCAGTTCTCAGAACCAGTCAATCAGTATGGCTGGTTCCGTTTAAAACCATATACAAATGTGGACCACTCCTTTTAAATGAATTCTAAAACAATTCCACCCTTCATGCAAGGTCGATGGGCACTTGTAAAACATTACGGCAACCGAAATCAAACGGAGTACCGGAAACACCGAAATTAGGCAAGTCCATCACAAGATAAGGAATGGCCTTGCGGTGGAAAACAACCTGATAGCAAACAAAAACTAACTGCAGCGTGTTAACAAAAACTACCAGCTCTGCAACCCGCCCTTTATTAGAATGCCAGCAACATCTCTACAACGACGGATAATTGTTGAGTGGCGGGAGGTCCATAACTCGATACGGACGGATATCAATAATTACGGATCAGCAGGGTCAGCACAAAATCAGCGTCTTCCCAAGACTTACAACCACAGACTCCCACGCTCTGACCTAGCTGAAAGCACATAGATACTGCAATCGTTTCCAAACTAGCACCACCGATAAGTCCTGGAAGCCATCCTCACCACAGAAAGGGTGATTCACTTTGAGAAACAGCTCAGGCTGTGCATCACCCTGGAGATAATGAAAATCATATTTTATATATATATATATATATATATATAATCACTGAACATATCGCACATTTTGCAATGCTGGTATATTTTTTGTGTCCACCTGACCTGTGTCTTCGAGTCACCAAAACAATGCAACATTTAATCCTGACCAGGGGCGTAGTTTTGTGAAATGAGTTAGGAGTGGGAGTGGGAGGAACTGAACAGTGAAAAATGGCATGGCTTACCCCTAACCTAAGGTAAAAAACCGGGGTGTCTCTCCGGATTCGGGAAACTTTCTTACGGTTGGGGAAGAGTGGAGCGAAGACCCGAGTTGAGACAGCTAGAATCCCTCCCTCCCCACCCGCCTAACTAAAATAGGAAACTACACCCCTAATTCAAGCAATCGAGCAAGTACAGAAAAGGTACAAACCTGTGCATTTGCCCTTGCATATAACAACACTCGTCGTAAAGAAATATATCGTGAGTACGAGTGAGTGACGTGATGGTGATGATGACAACTTGGGCTTTAGGGCAGGGCGACTACTCTGGTCATATGGCACCCATAGTGAGTGAGTGAGTGAGTGGGTGAGTGAGTGATTGAGTGATTGAGTGGGTAAGTGAGTGAGCGAACGAGCGAGCGAGTTAGTGAGTGAGTGAGTGAGTGAGTGAGTGAGTGAGTGAGAGCGCACACTCACTCTACGCAGATGACCATCTACAGTCAAGGTAGCAGATCAGGACACTCACTCTGCATAGCCTGCCATCCAGGGCAGCCAGTCCAGCTGGCGGGGTACAATTATGGGCCGGATGATGTGGTCGCTCGCCACCTGCAGCTCGTCCTCCGACTCCAGCTGCAGAAAGCATGGCCGGCCGTAGGGGAACTTGGTCGGTCGGGTCGAGCTCTGATTGGCCGCCTCCGCTGCCGATACGGCCGAGTCGACGCCACCCATCGAGCTGAGCAGCGCCGACCTGAACCGGCTGAACATGGCGCCGACCCCAGCTGGGAAGGGGGAGGAGGAGAATTGGCTGCCAAGCCTACCACAAAGGAGTGCTGGTGCAAGCATTAGGCTGCCCAGGCGTGCTGCAAAAAAATAAAGTGGTGGCTCTCATCCATCACACTGTGTAGAATGGTGGACAACTGGTGGATCTACCCATGTAACTGCTAGCTTCCGCACAACGAGGATAAGATATTCTAAATAAACAATAATGGCATGTGGGCATGCAATGATATCCAAATTGCTTCCCTGAAGCCATTTCAGGCATGAAATGTTTCAGACATGCGCCCAAAATGACGCTGTTCAGATATGATGAATACTTCCAAGCACACAACACCACCAACAGGTCAAAAACACACAAACTGTACCAAGGAGGTCACCATCTTACATTGAAAACCAGACTACTGCAATCTCTGTTGTTGATGATTGACACACCAATGGAACAATAACGACGCGTCAGGGTCAAGACAGTGGCAGCCCATAGAATTGGCTGTTGCCTGGCTGGCAGCCACACCACAAAGCAGTTGCATTACAATGTTTGTCACAAATGGGATACTGAGTAATCATAGGGATGGGGTGAGGGACCATAAATATATCAGCCAGCATGTCACATATGGTTATGAAGCGACAGGGTGCGGGTTTCCCACATAAGGCGGACAACCCCATGGATTTCGGAGGATTTAATATTTGTTTGTATATGTGTGCCCAAAACCATCCACCAGATGGCTTTTCAGGTCTTCGCCTCGTTACAACAAACCGTTCGCTAGGCCCAGTTCGTTACAACACTCGCTCACTCATTACAACACGCTACAAAAATACGAGATACGATACTACGAAATATACTTTAAAATGCGATACTACGAAATATACCATGAAATGTCATACGAAGAATTACACTATAAGATACGAAACTATAAAATAAGGTATTGCAAAACACGACACTCCTAAATACATACGAAGACGAACGATAAATTCAATAAATGTTCTTATCGACATTGACACTAAATGACAACAGAATGTGTCACACCCGGACTACACAAACAAAGATGAATGAAAACAAATCGTACGAACATGGGATCCGCATTGACATGCAACCACACACGTACATACATACGGTACATGCATGTGGGGAGACCACGTTCCAAAAGTGAGTACACATTTTGGGTGACCCGGGAGGCCCGTGTATTGACAACTTAGATGTCAAAATACGACCTGAGCACAGGCTGGTCCAAATTTCGAATTCAAATAAATGGCCCATAGTGCACCAGATTTTTCATGTGCCTGGAGTTCACCGACTGCTTTTCAATAGATGCGTTTTTGTCGCAGCATTTTAGGTTAACACCAGTTCGGAAGCCTCAAATACTGCCTGCCAAAAACAATGTGGCAAAAGTCATAAAAATGGGTTGATCCTGAAGAACACAAGTCACAGAACGGGGGACCTTTTTCGGATACTCTTTGCGAGAGCCCTCCTGTCTGCCGTCGGCGAGCACTGCCCTGGGCCGGCTGTTCCTCGCATGACACTGCGAACTGATCGTATAATTGCTTTGTTCCATGTTCTGGGATCAGCATTACTACTCATTGGTGTGTAAAGAAGATGGGACACCTGCTACAGTACGTACTTCTGACGTGTCTTCCGTTACACTACACCACAGCAGAAAGTTAACTTTCGGGAAATCGCCTGCTTTAGGCATAAATTGTTCCTAAGGGCATGGGGGCACAAGGGCATTTGCCGCTCATTTATCCTCATTTTGTTACTGGGTATACTACTTATATAATTGTGTTCGTCCCCGTTCCTGGAGTCGTGCGGGAGTGTTTTAGACTACCACTCTCCAGCCAGGAAGCCCCCTGGTGGAGGGCCGCGCCCGGGTACCCGGCGCACACCCTGCAGAGGGGTCCCTGCGCGGTTGGGTTCCCAGGCACGTATAGTTTTTCCCCACCGTCATCCATTCTCTTCCATCCCATAGCCCTTAAATAATAATTAGTGATGGAAAGTGCCCTAATACAATTAACCAATTCCAGCATGCGGCAGCCACCTAAGCTTGGGTTCCTGGGGTGGCTGTTTGGTCTGGCAGATTCCAGATGGGCGGAGGCGAAACGGCATCCACGATTTTACGGAATGGTCGTGTCAGTGCATTTGATAACGCGTAAGAGGTTTCCCCCGACGGTTGCAGGCAGTTTCCGACGAAATGCGCGAAGTGGAGGTCTCAAACGGTGGTCTCTGTGAATTTTAACATTTGAATTTGAACCTTAATGGCTAATGCTAATGGCTAATTATGACTTAACCTAAAGGCTAATGCCTTTCTGGAAGAAGTGACATCCATCTTCTGCGTAAACACAAGCATCACTCAACAATGGAAACGAACAATCTCTTCCTTAAAAGCTTTGCTAGTGTGGGACTAACAAACTTTGTCATTTGTCAAGTCTTCTTTTTGACACAGGGCGCATGACATGAAACACACGTCGCGTGCACTATGTGGCATTTGTGGTGCATGTTACTGCATTGTTTTGCCCTCACCCGACGAGCGCACCTGATGACACGCTGTCCCTGAAAATAGATCTGTTCCGAAATGCCTCCCACAAATTGATGGCTCTCTGACCTCGTGAACAGCAGTGGTTGTCGGCACATACTCGAACGTGCCGGCACCCTCTTGAAGACCTAGTCTAAATAAATTGTGCACTTGAAACAATGGCGTATCACATGGCTGACGCACGATGAGCTAGTGTACTTAATTATATCCTATAACGCAAAAGCACATTGAACAACACCGACTCGGTTACTGGATCGGTTATACATATATATATATATATATATATATATATATATATATATATATATATATATATATATATATATCCGGTTTAGTCAAGCCTCCCCTGAAACGCCCATGCTCTTCTAACGTTTCACAAAATACCTAAAAACGATACATCAGTCACGCAACGAGCGTAACAATGTCAAATACGGAAACGCATTTGAACTCGTGGCATTTCCAATAATGCCCAAAAAATTTAATCAGATACCACACCAACGGTGATTTTGCAGAGTTGATATGATATGCACCGGCATTATACAAAAGTCTTGTTTTAGCATGGCATGCTGGACTACGTCAACCGCTCATAACACATCTATATTGAGCTCCATGCACCTATGCCGAGGGGACTGTAAGCAAGCATGTAGAAAACCCAAGGCGATATAAAAGGATAGCGCGGAGCCTTTGGTATCAGTACATAGTGTATCATAGTGTATAGTGTATTATAGTGCATCAGTACAGTAACATAGAGTTCGCTACTAAAATATCTCTGCTGTAAATGATAGGTTAAGACGCCACCATTTATCACATGGAGCGCTTGTGTCCACCACAGCTTCAGGAGGATAGCAGACGAACTAGATAAATCGTCACGCACGCAAGTACAACAGTTAGCTAAACGCATGTTAAATCCGAGGGAGGGGGCAGAAGAGTGATGGCTAACAATGTTGCCTGCCCTCCACCTTCAAAAGGGGGGGGGGGGGGGCATGGTCGCACCTGTTCTTACTCCAGTGATGGACTCCAGCAGTCTCTATGACCTCCACGAACATCTCCCAACTTGCCATTATCCTCACACGACTACATGGTTGCACGGCCCTGTCAGTCAGCTGCAGGACGTTGGTCACAGATGAGTTACATTTGCGCAGCTTTTGGACTTGTTTCCATCCAGGACTGTTAGTTTGGTGCATAAAACCATCCCCGGGTTTTTGGAAGGTGCATAAGCCTGGTGCACAGCCACCCTCTATTTTGGGGGCGCATAAGTCTGGTGCACAACCACGCACCAGAATGGAGGGTGCACATACTTCCGCCTCAAAGAACAAAAATTGGATGACGTCCTCGCTCTCATCTGCGCCCGTGGGAAAGGCGGTCTGATATGCATAAAGGCTCGGTGGAAATTTTGTCAGGTATAGAGCTGACATCAAATGTTAGCTCCCCAGCTCTGTGTATGTCTTCTGCTGCTCGGTGTACTTTGTTGCACCGAGCGAGAGGTTATCACTTGTTACTAATATCAGTGTTGCATAAATACAGTATAGTAACGATTTTGTTCCAATTCATAAGAAGTTCAGATGAGTGACTGAGCCGGTATGAAGCAGAGAAGAGAGGAGGTACCTCAGAGGCGTACACAGGATTTCACAACGGGAGGGGGGGGGGGCATAACTCCGAACTCTGCGCTGTAAACCAAGTAAAGTGCCACGCAGACACGTGTGATTTGTAACTTGCCGTAAAACGGCGTTACATCTTTCGACTTTCTTATTGTTGTTGTCTACCTCACAGAGGCGCAGATAGGATTTGCTGGGGGGGGGGGGGGGGATCAGGAGCCTTGCGAGAATACATCATACCGACATTTAACTTTTGTCAAAGGTCACTGTGATAAAAAAGAAAGAAAAACCCGCTTCTAATGGAGCCCGCTTACTTTGGCTGCGCCCCTGCTGCGTGCAGTTTTTCATTGTCCACAAATTAGCCCTCGCCCTGATGGGAGATTGGGGGTCTACGCGATCTCCCCCCCCCCCCCTTCCCCAGGTTTTCTGAAGATCCCTCTTCGACATACCCCGCAATCACGCCAAAACTCTCATCAGCCCACGGGGCGTTCATTGCGCGTGTTTTGACACACAAACGTGTCCCTGGCTTTTCTGGTTTCGGAGCATAGCCGGTTTTTTTGGAACACTGCACGGCGATCTACGGCCGGCGTGGGCGGCGGGCGGCAACTGACAATGGAGCAGACCGCCCAAGACAGACCGACATTGTAACATTAGCGGAGCCATACACGACAGGCGATGACTGGGTTCTTCACGTCATATTAGACCGTTTGAAAATGACTGCTACTACCTGAACCAGTCATTTCCTGGCGTCGCCACGCGGTTCAGCCGCGTTCCTACGCCGATCGCCTTCTTACCCTCACACCGCTCTGATACCGTCTCTTCTCCTTCTCCTCAGGTCCTGGGCGAGGCTCGGGCGATCCACCTGGTCGACTGGCCGTCGCTGGCACGCAGCGACATTTGCTGCAGCCCTCCAACTAATCTCTCCCAAAAATGTGTATTTGCCACCCAGCGACACCCCTGAGACGTGTCGTGTGTCCGCGCTCGGCGACAAATTTCACCGCGTGTCTACCGTGTGCCTATCGGCTCGCTTGAGTCGAGGGATCTCAACTGAGTCCTTGTAAGGGTCATGCTCTCGGAGTCGGGACCGTTGTGTGCCGTGTGTTCTATTTTCATGTATCGAGTGTCCCTTTGTATGTAAAAGCCGTCCGCAGTGCTATGTTGTAGAATCCTTACTGCCAAAAAAGAAAAACCATGAAGCCTCCGGCGCACGTTGGGCACCCACCATCTCCCGAGAGGGCTCACCACACTTCCCGGGTGGAGGGGGAGGCTACAGTCCCCTGGTTACGCAACTCCTGTTGAGCTTGTCATCAGCATATGACACCCTAAGAGCACACGGCTCGTACGCTGCCCAATGACCATCGCAGACAGTATCAAGGATATATAGTAGTCTATAGCGACCTTTTTTATGTGATATGGGTACTAAGCCATTTGTGCAGTGATTCAGAACACGTCCTTGTATTGTATCCTTATCTTGTGTTCTGCCGGCAAAGTATTATCATATGCCAAGAAAGCTTCTGCGATTCCGTGTTTCCATGCAGCCTGAATAACCTGGCCTGTTGGCTCGTCGGGACGATTCCTGGGTTTGAAATCGGGCACCGTTAAATTTCGTTGACACAGGGATTCATTAACAACGCCGTATTTCCGTAGACCTTTTGGGCCAAGATGGGTTGCCCACCATCATCACTTGCAGACGACACAAAGCACTACTGAGTGAGTGCTTACTTTTTTAATCGAAATCCTGGGATAAAGGTTGTAGCTTGGCGGAGAGAATGGGTTTCACAAAATGGACCGGATTGGGGTTGGCTGAATAGTGATAAGAGGTGTAAAAGCGCCCAAAATAGCAAAAAAACGAGTTTCTCCCTGGATGTCCCAAATTCTTCTCAAAAGTGTGGGAATCAAGCAAAAATTAGCAGAGTCCATCCACGTGAAAAGGACATCATGTCTTCAGCTCTGCCTTAAAAGGGAAAACCTGCTATGTATGTGTGTAACAGTCACTTACTAAAACTGGCCCAGTGGCTCAGCTGAAAATGGTGACCTAACCTTCCACCAAAAGCCTTTTTCCCCATGGACATTGACAACTTGGATCTGTGTCCCCCATGTTACATTCTGTGTTTTCAATTATCACAAGTCTAAATTGTTATATATTCATAATTGGTTCCCTGCACAGGAATGACTTTCCATTTGAGATTAAAGTGAGCTGCCTTCCAGAAAACAAAACTTAGAATGAGGTATACTTCACAGAAAAAACATCTCAGTTAATATTAAAAAGAGACCACTAACAACTACTGATTTCATTGGTTACATTGTATAACCACCAAAGCCATATGTGCCAAATACACTTGTTTCTTTTGGGGAAGTACACATGAACTTTTATCAGGGGCAACACACACTTTAAAAAGCTGTAGCATGTGCAGCTGCATAGTCAATTGCTATTTATCCTAATCCAGGTATCATTTGAAAACCCATCAGGGATTTACAGACCGGCTTGAAATATATAAAGGAGTGAGCATGACAAAAACATAACATACTGTAAACTGAGGTGAATTTGCCACATATTGAACCAAAAATGCTTACCTACAGATACCGCTTTATACAAAATCAGCATGGCAATAATAGCAATTTGTTTAAGTACTCACAACCTAGCATACTAATAGTAAAGACAACTCATCAAAGTTCATTTTACCCTTTATGCTAACATGCATTAAGGGGGCTCAGAGGGGTACTGGGCATCCCATATCAGTCAGGCCACCCCCACCCACCCACCAACCCCCAACCCCCCTCCTTGAAATTATGAAGTGACTTTCCTGTGTGCATGCTTAAACATCTGTGGTTATTCACATTTTATACTCAAGTGTCCCTATTCACCTTTCAGCTAGCTATAACCTATTCATTTTTGATAATTTGGTTAATTAATTACACTGCCCTGGAAATCTACCAGCCATGCTTTTCACTACAGCAGCTAACTCGGAAGGACCACCCAAAGCCATCCAATTTGTGCTGGTCTTGGCAGCAGTGGTGTATTTCACACAGTGTAGATCAATAGGAACATCATATTCTTCACTCCATTTGTCTGTCCATTTGATCATCTCCAAATTATATGAAAAGGACTAATGACAAAAAAGCACCAAATGGCGAGGCAGTTAGCAATGGTGCAAGTGCAGGGTAGATTGAAATGGGGTGAAAGATTGATAATAAAATATTTCACCTTTCCCTTCTTACTATTGTGTGTTCAGAAAGACAGTTAATGTATCCCAGCCATAATTTAAGCATTCTACATGTTGGCTTGTATACTCACTGCACCAAATAGCATGTATTTACCTTTGGTCACAGCATGCATCATTATGAGGTATTGTTCCAACAAAGACAAACATGTACCACCTGCAAGAGTATGCATCATCATGAGGTCTGCAGTGTACGAACTGGGACAAAAAAAATTAGCAGGGGTGAAGTTTTGTAAAATGTGTTGATATTTTGGGGAGTTTTATGGTGAAAAAACAGATAAGCCTACCTTGAAAAACACACCAATGAAAGACTGCAGAATCCTCAGCTTTAACCAACCTTGTCTTCAAATTTGTGGGGGCTGGAGCCCAAGTGAGGGGGAGGGCCTCCTTCTCAACTAAAAAGAAAACTACACAACTAACACTCAGGCGTTTCATTCGGTCATGTTCAAATTTATCACTTCTTTCAAAAAAAAAATGATTTAAGACTGCCTTATCTAACACACAAAACGCCAAAAACAAATGCGAAAAGGACGGGAACATATTTCTCACCGGTTACCGCCTTACCTTCAAAATCCTATGACTACAAAAGCTCCAGGGGCATCGGCGTTAGATATCCTTGGCATCGGCCAACAACACTACTGGCGTGATACTGGCGCATCAAGACCAATCAAAACCATTTTGACAGGCACATCAACACTACTTTGCCACCATTCATGCAGCCGAGTCCATACTCTGGCATTAATGCACCGATTTTATTCAAACTAGTGCTAACCGAAAGCCAAAGTACAGTTTTATTGACCGCTCTGAAACTGATGACCTCAGAGTACCATCTTTATCTTCAAATAACCTTTAACACACTGCGAGGCATTGCAGCCAATTTCAAACACGAAAACCACTAGACCGACCTTCTCGCAACCTTTGCCGAGAAATAGATGTACGATTGCATCAGCTATTCTCAGACTGGTGATCTCAAGTCACCATCTTTACATTCAAAAACCGCATAAATTACTTTGAGGCGATACAGCGGGTGGCTTTTGGCCAATAGGAACGGAACCTGAGCGATCATGGGTGCCGCAGGAGGCCAACGAAGCGCCTCCCGCCAACAACTATAGGGCCCTCAGAGCAAGCAAAAGAACGCAAGACCAACGTGGTGGGCCCCTAAACGATCGGTAGTGTCCCAGCAGGCTGACGCATAAGGCCCTGCCATAGTACAAGACCCTCCGAGCGATGGGGAATCATCCAAGACCATAAATGAATACCCCTGTGCGATCAAGAGTGCACGGGCAGGTTAGCAACACAAGCCTCAATGGGAGTGAAGAGTCCTCCGTAAATGAGGCCAAAGGGGGAGAGCCCTTGATCATAGTAGAGGGCCCATGAGCATCGAGTGTCTCCGTGCCGTAACTTATATGAGCCCTAGCAAGAGCACAAAGTCATCCAAGCAAGTGGAAGGAACCCGAGACTTATAGGAAGGACCCCTGAGCAACTGAGTTTTCCCTGGCATACGCGACCCCCGAAAAAATGCATAAAGCCTTCCGGGCGAGTGGGAAGAATTTGTGGAGGAAAATCTGATGGATCAGCAGTGCCCAGGCATGGAGACAGCTAGCGTCCCAACAGCACATTGGGCCCTACGAGAAAATGCAAAGAGATCAAGGGCAGCGTGAAAAGCTCTTTAGCGATCAGATTTACCCGGCAAGTGGGCATATAGGGTCAGGCAACCAACAGCGCAATGCCTCTAGACAGCGTAATGAGCCCCAAAATTTCCCCCAAGCAACACTTCCTCAATCAACGAAGAAAAAACTTCGTTTGCCTATGAACTCTTTACTTTTGCTAACAACGGTTATTGGTCGTCTGTGGGCCGAAAGGCATCCAACTTGTGCTTTTTGTTGTAAGAAAGCTGCATCCATCCGGCCGGTTACGGGCCCCTTCGGAGTCTTTAGATCCCCTTGACATGATCCATGGCGTATGGTTCTGTGCCTGCCCGCCCCGCCCCAACCCCCCTCCCCCTCCCCACCCCTCACCCCGCACCCCCACCCCTCACCCCATCCCCGCCCCCAGCCCCCACCCTCTGCATCCGCCACCGGCCCGAGCAGCTGAACAGATGGGGCCCACCAAGAACATAAGGTCATCCATTCAACTAAGGAATATTCACGACCCAATGTGTAGGGTTTTGAACGCTCGAGTGCGCCCGAGCAGGTTAACGTATAGGGCCCCCGTCAAGAGCGTGGGGCCCTCCATTCAAATAGGGAGTACCCAAGAGCCTGTAAAGCCTGTCCCTGATACTGTGCTTGCGGATCCACCACCCACGTTAGATGGCATAACCATTACATGAGACGAAGTGCTAAGAGCACCCATTTCTCTTGCTCCAAACAAATAACGCGGTCCTGACAACCTTCCAGTAAAAATATTAGAAATGACTGTCATTTCGTTGGAGACCTCACTCACTAAGCTATTTAACATGTCTTTAAGCCAAGGTGATTTTCGTTCCACCTGAAAAGAAGAAAAGGTTCATCCCGTTTTCAAAAACAAAGGGCCAAGCCTGGATCCTGTCAAATACAGACCAATCAGTTTACTTCCTTTTGTCAAAAATTAACATTTGAGAATGGGCTGCCCTCTGAGACATAAAGTGGATACTGTCCAAAACATAGCACACGAATGCAGCCGATATATTTCACTAACAATCTTCACGCAGCTTTGGACTGAGGGGATGACTTTGTAGTCATGTAGTAGGATATTGGTAAATATTTTGACAGGGTATGACATATGGTTTTCCCAATCAAGTGCGAGAACAATTGCGGGTTGTCAGCAGCCCTCCTAAATTGGCTAGCATTATGTCTTTCAGACCGCAAGCATAAAATCGAGGTAGACAACAGTTTGAGCACCCCTGGGACAACGCATGCTTAATGCCTGCAGAGGTTGGTTCTGGTGCTTCTCCTTACGTTTATATATCACGACCCAAATGATAAGACTGAGAGCGGCATATTGTTCTTTGCCGACGATATCCCACCATACACAGCACTCATACAGCTCAGCGGCCATACAAACGTCTCTCCAACACGACGTACGTAACACACAAGGGTTCGGTAAAGACTAGCTCATCACGCTCAACGCTACGAAAACAATTCACTAAATATTCACCAACAGAAACGTAAATGACCCACCACAGCTGGCCTTTGATGGCCAACGAATCCCTCTGTTGTAAGTCACAAACACCCTGTCCTGACGATATCTACTGACTTGCATTTTCATCAGCACGTTCATGACACCATCAGTCAGTAGAACTTTTGGGCCTCTACCCACTATCGCGACTTCTGCCTCGACATGTTCTCAACGACATACACACGGTTTATAATCTCGCTATGTTTGGTTATTGTCATATAGCATAGGACGGACTTTTGACAACCAGTGACTTTGTTAGACTTGAAAGACTAAAGCACAGAGCAACCATATTAATCGCCGGTGCACCCTACAGAACACACACTTGCACGCTGTTTGACAATTTAAGACGAAACACTCTGAAGTTCCGAAGAGACATATACAAACTGACACTTCTACACCCCCTGATCCACAACCTACATCAGCTGCCAACAGTCACCTCACACCTACCTGGCACACAAGACTCACAACAGGACGTCCGCTTCGCAATGCAAAAACACTCACATTGCCACCGAACAGAACCACAGCATTCCAAAAGCTCCCACATCCTCTTCACGAGAAGATAGAACCGACTTTCGTTTGAGGTGTAATCTCTCCAGTCTCCTCGCTCCTTCAAAAGGGAAACATACCTATACCAGCGCTGCAATGTTGCTGCGCCTCCAATGTATCTCAGCATTGGATCCAAGCTTGGTAATGCGAGGACAGTTCAATGCATAGTGTTTTGAGTCTTCATATGGATTACCACACAAACAAGAGGGACTGGGTGCTGTTGAATTTGAATTTCGAACATGCGAGCGTTAGGGTCGGACATTCCCAATATCAGCGTGGTATTACACATGCATCCTAAATGCTACGCGGAGATTGGGAATCTCCGACCTTAATGTTCACATGTTCGAAATTCAAAATACCAGCAACACCTAGCCCCTCTTGTTTGCGTGGTTATCCACATAAAAACTCAAAACACTATGCATTAGATTGTCCTCACAATTATCAAATCAGAATGTCTATAAAAGAGATCACATTATCGCAAACTTTTGCGAGCTCACCCACAGAAAGCAACTCAGCATCTATCAGGAAGCGGCTTACAATATTGCACCGGGCAGCAGACATTAAAAATTTTCCAAGCATTTTTTCCTCGAACTAAACGATTCGCCTAAGAAGTTGCAGCGGGCGCGGGCAGCGGACGGGTGACTGGATGGCGGTACCGCGCCGGGCGTCCGCCGCCGGCCGTAAACGGCTCTATTCGCGAACCGGAGCGGCGGCAGGACGCCTGGCCCGTCCCAGCTTGCAGATCGGACGAGTGGGCCGTGGATCGTAGGCTCCCTGGCGGCAATGGCTATTGTTTGATTTTGTTAGGAGAGGCGCTCAGATGTGAGCGTTCCACTGTTGCGCCAATCCGCACATTATATCATATACTGATTCATGCTCACAGTAGAAAATAAACAATAAACGGCCGCAGCCTAACACCGCACATCTGCCCTACCGTGCATCCCGTTTCAAGAGCACTTGCAATAAGCATCGCACACTGCACTCTACTACCCTTGCCCTGGGCACACCGCGTCACTACCTTCATTACCAAATACTTCGCAAAACGAGAAAGCGAACTGTACATAGTCATAATTACTTTAATCATATCTGTGTGATGTATCCCGATACCATCGTTACATTTCACTCGGTCTCATGCGAAGCCGGGTTTACTGCAGTTTAGCTTTCGCGGCTACGGCGAAAGGTTGCCTCGGCCGATCAGCTGATCGTTCGCGCCAACCTGCCTGTGGTCAAGCGCGTGCAGTTTGGCGCGTAGATGAAGATGCTCTTAGTGGTCGGGTGGGGAGGATTCTCTAACGTAGCTTTTCGGCACCGGCCAATAGGCATATCGTTTGTCGCGTGGCATTTGCGTGGAAGTTGGTCTTTGGAGAAGGGCTCAGCGTGAAATGAAGCTTCGAGCGAGGAGATAGGTAAGGAGACAAACACCGTTGCCTGGCATGACTGCAAGCGTCGACAAAATAAGGATTATCTTATCACAAAGCATCATAGCCAAAAAACAATGCAGCAATAACATAACATGTAAGACACAGCGAGAGCAGGCACTTCCTTTTTTTGGACGCATACACGTACGGCAATGCACATGCAGAAGGGAAATTACCATCAACCACATATTCCTGAGTATTTTAGTCAGCTTGTGAAACAAATAATAACAGGGTAAATCGGGCTATTTATTACGGTGGCGATACAAGTATGTCAATGATAGAATGGTTTAGGATCACTGCTCACATACGTCTTCCAGATCTGCACCAACACCGTTTATGGAGCGTCCCTAAATGCAGCCAATTACTCCCTGACGTGATGCGTTCGGACCGGAAAAAGTGACAGCGTCTGGGCTGGATCCACTCGATCCTAGCAGAGGTGATGCGCATGACAAAGGTGCTGCTACGTTGATTCTCCTCGGTGTCGTCATCAAACGAAGCGAGTTTTCAGCTTCTGTCGCGCGCTGAAACTGCAATCAGTTGTGGCTGAGCCGGCGGGCAGGGTCACGAGAAGACCATCGAGTTTAAAGACTTCAGAGATGGGTTTCCACGCGTTGTCCTCTCATTGCGAAGAATGGATTGAGGGATTGATTTGCCCTCTTTGAGAATGGCAAGCGGGCAGCTGCTCCTCTGCCGTCCGGTGACGCTGCCCCTGAGCGCCTCCGCGGGGTTGGTATACCCAGCTTCTACGTTACCAATAAGAATGTTACGGGCTTGAAAAGAGGGAAGAAATGAATGAGAGTTGCAGGTTGCGTGGGCGGCGTGTCAAAAGATAATAGAATGAAAACAAAACGCATTTGAAGTCTGTCCCAATGACTCAGATGGCTAGAGCTCCTGCCTTCCGATTCATCCAACCGTGGTGGGGGGGGTTCGCGTCGACTAGGCGTCCACTGTTTGTAGTTGACAAGTATGGCCTGCGGCCGGAGGCAGCGGCCGCGCTAAAAGTCAGGTGACGTGAGAGGGCGGGATGGGCTGTGGCGTGCCTTACGGCACCTTTAACTTTCGCCACCAACTTCTTGTCGTGGACTTCCTGCCTTAGCTTTCTGCTGTGGACCTGAAATTGCACGACAGCTCAATAGGTTAGCGCACACATTAAGCACTGCTAAACGTGGGCTTGGATCCAAAAAATCCATCCATCAAAAAAGGCTTGCATTAAATACTTACAAAAGATACGTGCTTCATGAATAGCACAAACGAAAAAAACCCGAATGGTGGGGTAGGAGGCATTGGGACACCTAAAGGTTTTCCAGTGGACCGCAAAAATAAAACAGCGAAATTCCCACAAAATTGTATTATACCATTTCTCTAGGAATGTAGCCAAAATCCCAGTGGGGTCAATCTACCAATTCCAATACATCTACCAATCTTCCAATTTACTTGCGCCAAAGGTGATATTTCCGTGGAAAACCTGCAAATTAGGACCAAAATCCTGCAAATCACTCACTACCCAGCGCGAGTCTTTCGGCCCAGACGGTGATGTTTCCCTTGTCAACATCCCTGTGTACGTTTCGGAATCTCCTATGGCAGTCTCTGTCTAATGTCGGCAATTGTGAATGGCATCGTAGAGCAGGATGTTGGTTTGGGATAGGTGGGGTGAATTGATCTGAGAAAACTATGGCTTATTACCTGCCTGTATTGAGCTAAAAACTCATCATTCATCTCAATGATGTTATTCAGTGAACTATGCTCATAATTTTTAACCAATTTCTGGAATCGAGAGGCATAAAGCGTATTACAAGTGTACTTAATTTGACAGTGATTCAGAAAACATGGGACGAGTCACTCAATGGCAATGTTCTAAAGCTGATTCGTGCTAATCCGGCCAGGCACTGCCAGAATGCTCGCTGAAAGAAGTTCCGGTCCGATTTATAATGTCGTAGAATGTTTAAAGATTAAGCCAGTAAACGCACATTTTTAGACACATCGGGACGCTCCTGCAATATTCGCCAAATCTCTCCAAACTTAAACAAGGTATGAGGGTTACCATTTGTGAACCTCGGTCTGACCTTAGCCAGCGCAGTGACCTACTTGGAAATTTGATTTTTTTCCGGGTGTTAAAACGGATACACAAAAAGGCACATATATTTTGCATTGCTCCACTCCGCCCTTTTTTGCTAGCCCCGGAAACAATAAGGGGGCTAAAGACTTTTGTAGCCCCTGCCGAGCCTGGCTTAAGTCTTGTCTCCATTTTAAACAAATATTCAGTTACAGCAGAAAAAAGCACCAAGGATGTCCTTCGAATTGTCACTCCAGTAATGTAAACGAATACAGTGATCGGTAAGCAAAATGCAATGTAGTGACGCTCTCATACAGTAGGCAACTTAGATACAAAATGTTTCAGTACCCACAATGAACAGAAAAGATACGCCAGGTTGCAGTGGCGTATCTATTTGCGTTCTAAAACTACTGCAAAAACACAACAGTGGAAGTGGTGATATGTGATGGGCATGGAAGACAGCGTACGGAAAAACCAGCCGCGTTTGGGAAATGAGGATTTTGGTATTGCAGTACGTATGCTACAATTCAATATCAGTTTTCACCTTTCCCTTCAAAAATGTCAACTCAAAAATGAAGGGGGAAATTTCGCCGTCCCCCTCCGGGTGGCACCGGCCGCGGTCACTTGTGACCCATGATGGGGCTACATCAGGCCGTCCCGTCATGGTTTCTTTCCCAGCTATAATCGAGCAAGTGTCCACTATGCTAAACAAGAGCAGCCGGATGATAGTCAACGAGACCAGTGTTGAACTGGATATCCCACACGCAAGCTCTTGGCACCGCCACACAGCAGAGGAAGATCGCAGATCCCAATGTGGTATATGTTTCACCTCCTCAGAAATGGACGGAAACAGCGCCACGTCAACATCACGCTCCCTCATTTAGCTGGTTCCCTCCGAGAAGACAACAATCTGACACGACAATTTTCTGAAGAGTATCGTGGTCTGTGACGAAATCTAGGCTCGCTCGCGGAAGTCAGAACACGACAGAGCCAGCACACTGGAGTAGGTAAGGGCGTCCGCAACGCACTGTCGAGACGAAGCATCCGTCAGCTCCCAAGAACACCCACAGTTGCAATGAAATGCCCTTGTCACAGCTGCCAACCAAAGGACTGTCTTGCAACATTTATTCGGCTCGCGACGATGCTGCATTTGAATACTGAATCGTCATAACACATGTCCGTCATCCGGTCCTCTGCGTGCTTCATTTTCCATCGCATTTAATCACCGAAGCATGTGAAGATGACAAGAGCCTTTCACAAAGTTTACGTGCATAAACAAAATGTTGTCCATGTCCATGCAAAGTGGCTTAAATGGGCAATACTGCACCGCATGATATCACTCGTCGGCATGGCTGGCCAAAGTCTGATACTGTTCTCTTATATCGGGTAATATCCAAACTAATTGCTCAAGACTTACTGGTACTGGTCCTGGTACTGGTAACTAGTAAAGTTCCCCAGCCATTGGACGTCATAAAAGCTGGGTATTATGGATGCTCGATGTTATGAACTTTGGATGTTGCGGTTAAGGGTGCTGCAAGCTAGTATGTTAAGATTCGCCCCAGTTCCGGGCATTTGTTGATCTTTTATTCATATGAACGCTGAATGCTGCGGTTTTGGACGCTTTGGCCAGTGGACGTTATGAACCCTGGATGTTTCACCACCCATCGTCTTCAATACTCATCTGTCGATAGGTCATTTTCCGATGGATTTGACTACACTATTCGCAGAAGAACTGGTCGCTGCATTACGCACGACTGCACCTGGAAAGAAATGGCGTGTCCAAAGAACGCCACCATTAACCAGGTAGACGGCTCGCATGACGCGAGATAAGCGGCCATTGTGAGTCATTACAAATGGTGTAATTAACCCACTTGGGCACCCCAGAACTGACACAATCTCATTCTGCGTGAATGGCAAATACAACAGTCAAGTCTAAGAGCTAATTGTGTCACCATATGGGCCGCCACGTTGTTCCGAAAAAGGCTGCTAGCCCGTGTGGAGTTTACTTGGTGCCACCTACGAAGAAATGAAATGTTTTTTGCTGAATTGAAAGAACAATGCCCGGTTGTCGCCTCGATGTCGAAAACGCAGCCTCATTTTAGTCACAATAGGGCTCAATAGGCATTTTGATTATGGTGGGCCTCCTATATGGACATCATTTGAAACCCACCGTCTTCCCATGCTGAGTTCATGGCTCACCTGAACCCATTTAAACCATTTGAAACCCATATGCTGCCCATATGTATGTGCTGGGTGGCGCAAGCTGTTCAGCATTGGCAGGGACCCCTTCATCGTCTTGGGGCCCCGATAGGCGCAAGGTGTCCTTTGACCGACCCATAAGGGTCCGACCTACGGGCCGGGGTCGTACCCCGGTCAGTCGTTTGGGCCATCATCATTTGGGTCGTCTGTCCTGATGGGCCCGAAGGCCCACAGGGCAAAAGGGATGCGTGTCCCCTGAGCTCCCCCCCCCCCCCCCCCCCACTGTCTGCGCCCATTGGCGTGCTGGTATGCACACGAAACTCGATACGAGTCACCGACTCGCTCTCAGAACGCAGCTCCAAGGCGAATTACGACGTCCGCATCCCACAACTGTCGGCTTTTGACACCAGTTTGGTTTAACATGTGCCCGTTTTTTGCTGACAGACCAAACACCCTAAATTCTAGTAGTTCTTTACTTCGTGCCATATTTTGGTGAGTTGTGCCCCTTATTTGGTACTGTCAGCTAATTTGATAACTACTGTTCTTTCCAGCTTTCTCTTTCATGTATTTAGGGATTAAAGTCAGCATTTCGGTAAAAGACCACGATAAGCCGGTGGTGAAAACGTCCATGTTGGTGACACTCATCCAACCAGGGGAAACGTTTCCTTTGACTGTGATTCATCCAATTTGGTGGGAAGTTGGATTTAGGCTATTTTAAGTTTATTTCTGGTGATCGGCTTATAGGGAGCCATGTAGTTAACAAAAACATGTGCACGATTGGTGTGTATCGCTGTCATATGAGGGCTTTGAAATATGATGTGAAAATTTTCAAGGATTTGTAGATAAATGTTTCTTAAGATGAAATATGGCTTACAATATGGAATGACATATTCACAAACTGTTCTGCACTAGGCATCAACCTCCGGTTGCCGCCGCCATTTTCCGACTCGACAAAGGTAGACAGTTGTGGCGCCGGTGGGAGCGTGCGTTAGCGGGCAGGGGCAGGTAAAGGGGGGTTGAGCAATTGTTCAGGATTTGGGGCATCGACGTTTGAGCGCGTGTGTGGGCACGTGTGTTTGTGAAGATTGTGGGTAGGTGGCTAGTTTGGCTGACTGCAAGATATTGCATTTGGAAGCAAGATTGGCGACTGGTTTTCCTCGAGATGCTTGGATTCGGCGGTTTTGCTATGGTAAGCAACTGTGTGTATCCCGAGGGGTGCAAGTAGGTGCTTCCCAATATTTCAAGCTGCATTTTCCGCCTTAGAAACGAACGCCGCCATTGTGTGTGAAGAATGGGAAAATGATATTGATGCATGTATATATAAGTGGTGTTCAGTGGGTATTGAATATTTCTTCTGTATGTCCACTTTGAGCACTAATTTTTGTTTCTTCTGTGCTGCCATTATTTTGCTGAAGTTGACCAGTTATCTTGCATTAGCTGGCCATAAGTGGCATTAGTTGTTTTTTTGTTCTTGTGCATCAGGATCTGGTACAATGCAATGAGGTGATCCAACTTTTGTTCAGACATGGCTGTTTGTATGCTTGCAAAAGTCTACACTAGTTTTAGTTGCATTCATTGTTTTGCATGTAATATTTAGAACAGGAAAAAAGAAACTGTGGAATGATATTGTGCTTGAGTTGAACAATGACTATGTGATAAATTGCTCAAGATGTGTGTATATTACAGGGAATGTTTCACCTATGTAGATGCTTGTATGTGGTTTTGAACTGAAATAGCCACCTAGAAGATCATCTGGTGGAGTCCCAAGCCCTGCCCTTTCAAAGACCTAAGTCTGTCCAAATTCTGGGTTACACATCTGCAGAGATGTGCAGGCTGCCAGGGTGATTATTTTTATGTCACATAGGCATCCCTGGTGCCATGATAACATCATTAAAATCCTCTCCTATTGGCCATAGGGTGATCAGGGCCAAGAAAAATATTTGTCTAGTGGCCATATCTGGCCTTCATGAGCATGACTTCCAGATCAGCTATCCATTGGCACTCTCAGTATTGTTAAATATATAATCATGCAATTAAGCTATGACATAGCTCAGAGCATATATGTTAAACAAGGAGGCTGTGTTGTCTAGATCAACCTTTTCTGTGTGGCAGCATCCCAATGGCTATATGTGAGCTTTTTTCATCATGCCTAATGTTCAGTATGTTCTAGTTGAGGGCATTTTTAAGTTCAGAACTTTGACAGACAGCAAAAGTTTACTTCTCAGCAAATATTCTCATCATGTCATTTTTTATTGTGTCATGGGACGTTTGTATGACAGGAGAAGGGCTTCCAAATGGGCCAGATGGCATTATCACCCTAGTGGATATATCCTCCTTCAGTACTTCAGCTTCTTCATAGCACAGTTTTTCTTTAAGATGCCACCACTGTCAAACTTTCTGTGTTATGTAGCCCAAAACATGATCTGTTTTTTATATTTGCATTTAAAGCATAGCATTGGATAAGAGCCAATTCAAGTTTTTGGTTCCTGAAATTGCTGAAATTGTTTGCTCACATGCATCACACATCAATATCAAGTCATAGAAAGGGTAGAGCTTTAGCTGCACCATGATTATCAGAATGGCTGTCTTGGTTTGAAACCTGATATGCATGTGAGGCATTCCCTTTAAGACAAGATAATGGTGGTAGGCCAGAGAAGTTGCCTATTGTTACATTAACAAATGTTGCTGTTTTGTTAAAATTGGGCCTCATACTGACATACATTTTCAAAGTTACATATTTTCATATTATACTGTCCTGAGTGTGTATTTGAAAAGAAGCTGATTTCTATACACCCTGGATGCATATTTCATACATGCAGTATGCAGCTGAATGGAATGCTGTCTCTGCCATGCCAGCTGCATTGTGTACCAGGGAGCTAGATACCACACAGTAGCTCTGGTGATGATTCCTTGTTTAAAATGCAACATTTGCCATGGAAGCTGCTGTGTCGCACATGGTTTCACAGATGTAAAATGTTCAAGGAAAAATTGCAGATCATTGTCATCCCCTGGTCATGGCAGGGTCGAGGAGCTGCATATAGAGCACTTAGTGTGCTTTGGCCACCTAGTGATTTTACACCAGTGAGCTCTCTTATCATCTCACTGAGTGAGGATACAAACTTTCCCAACCAGAGAACAACAACAACAATGCAAGCTAAGGTGCACTGATCATCTGTGATACACTGCTTAAACTGAAAGCAGCTTGTGTGCACATCGTCCTTGACATTGGTCAGGCCATGCCACAGTTCACTCACTTCTCCCTCCATAGCATACCCTGTGCACTAATGTCATGCACTCTGCCTTTTTGAAAGGCAGATATTTTTCTCCAAATGGTATGCATGTAGCCCATGAATTCCACAAGCTGTGTCCCAGGACTTCAGGTTGTGATAAAAAACAGCACTACTACTAGCCAGTGCCACTGCAGTGACCATTTACCAGGTTGTGAAAGGGATGTTGCCTCTTGCACCTGTCTGGCCAAAGTAATTTTGGCATAACTCCCCAGCTTCTTATGCCATTTTAAACCTGGCAGCACTTTAAAGTTAATCATAAAATGCCAAGGATTAATTAACTTCATTGTTCATATCTGCATTAGTTGATGTGGCAGTGATGTTGTTTTAGACCCAGGTGTGTTGAATGCTTCTGATGTGTCCTTAGATATTGATAAGTATCATCAAAAGTGTTGTCATTTATGACTCGGTACTAAGGCTGTGATTTTTGTGAACAGTTAATCCATGCATTAGTGGCAACTAGTTTTGTTATGCTGAGATGCTGTTACTTTTTATATTTCTGCTAGCAACAGAAGTGACCAAAATTGTTTGGTTGCATGTTTGCCCTGAGCTTTCCTGTGTTACACATGCAAGGAATATGCTCCTAGATGACTTGAGTTAACCAAAATAATTGGTTGCATGTACCCTAGGATGTGCATTTTGTGGACTTTCATCATGTCTGTGTTATACAAGAAAGAAAGGAAAAGTCCCATGAAGTCCCCAGTGCATTGGAGAGGCATATTGAGTACCAGCTTGCCAGCTTTATCCACCTCATTTCTTGGCATGTGTTTGTGATGCCTGTGAAGTTACAATGTGATCTGCAGATTGATTGATTTATTTTCTCACAGATATCTACAACATCTGTCATATGTTGTGGATTGGTAGCAAACCCCCCAAAAATTGTGTAGAAGATAGGCAGTTTTGGGAAATCCACACCAGTCCCTAGATGCACTTATTATATATTCTGAATGGCATTCTTGTGCTTTTTCTTGGAGCTGATTGTTCAGGAAGTCAGAGACAGGGAATAAACTTGGTGGCATCAAACCCTTGTGCCTCCATGTTTCTGGCTAGTTTTGATGTACTGTACTTTTGGAGTACATGGATAATGGAAACATTGCAGACCAAAATTAAGTAATGGTTGCATCTAGTCTGCGGTTTGGTGTACATTTTCCATGCCAACTTTGAAAATGATTCACAGTTTTCCACACTTTCTTCATACAAAATATTGCTTGTGCTGTGGGGTAGGATTTTCCTTGGCATACAGCACGGTTTCCGGGCGTCCAAAAACCTGAGAATGGTCATGTATTTTTGAAACGGCTCTCAGGATGATTACTCGGGAAAACAAGGTTCAACATTTTTCCAAACACTGCCAACATCTGTTATGACTTCAAATCTATTTAAGGACAGCAGAAGGCAGAAGCATATCGTTTCACAACAGTACGGCATGCCAACAACCTGCAGCACATCTGCGGGGGCAGCCGATACTTTCGGACAATTCAACGCCATGTGCACACTGCCTCCGCCGCCTGAGCAGAGCAGGCTGCACGAGCCGGGGCGCTCAGGCGACCGGGCAGTCGTCCTGTGGGGTAGGCACCAGCGGCGCGGTGTGGAGGCCGTCGGCCTCCAGCCGCGTCAGCAGCGTCTCCAGCGCGGCCTGCTCGCTCGGCGCCGGCCGCTGCTGCCGCGTCAGGACCAGCACCGCACGCGCGTGGAAGCCCCGGTACTGGCGACACAGCTGCAGCATGCTGTGCTGCCGGTAGTCGGTCGCTATCACCATGTAGTCGGAGCTCGCGGTTCGGAGCAGGCCGTCGTCCAGCCGCGCCACGTCCGCCGTCTCGTACCGGCTGCCGTCGGCCGCGTCCAGGCGCGTCTCGTTTATCCGGACGCGACCGTCGGCGAGCGGCGTCAGCACCAGCCGCGTGCAACGCGCCCGGAAGCCGGGGTCCCTGTAGCGCATCTGCTCGTACCAGATGCCGGCGAGCCTCCCGATGGCGACGTCCGTCTGGCGGGGCGCCTGCGGACACAGGCCCAGCTCGGAGAAGTTTGCGCCACACAGGCTGACAGCAGTTAGCAGCAACAGCGGCAGCACAGGCAGCGGCGGTGACATGTCGGTGCAGTTCGCTGTCACACCGGATCGAGACTAAGCGATCAACGGCTGGCGGTCGCCTTAAATCCACGTGTTCACCGAACATCCCCATTGACGTTATGTAAGACGCATCTTTTACGATCTACGGAACGGGGTGGCCCGGCATTTCACTGGTAAACCTGCGAGGAAGCGTTATATAAACGTAATCCCTCAAACCGGTTATGTGCTGTCCGGTTGGCTTTGCGCTGCGTTGCAGTAGATAAGCTGCATCTGGTACAGTCGCCGGCGGCTGCAGCACATGGGACGAACGACATCGCTGGAGCTTCAAAATCCAATTTGAAACGGCTGTTTTGATTTGGCTGTTAAACTCTGTTCAAATTCATGGATATTTCCAAATGATTCCACACACATGGGCCATTGTGCGATGCGGGCCGTTGTCCGAGTAATTCTGCGTTTGCAAGGCAAATTATGAAACGCTTAAGATGTGATACACATAACATAAAGATACTGACTACAGCTGATACACGATTGTTGAACACGTGGACACGTGGAACGAACGCTTAGTAAAACCTGGCGCGGTCAAAAATATTGATCAGGCTGTGAAACAAAGATGGCTGAGCCCCAGGAAGCCGGGCTGACGTGAGCCATCGATGGCTGTGACCTGGTCTGATTCAGAGCCGGGAGGGAGGTGGCAACGGCATGTCGGTGTGCGGGCCGTTTGATGGCTGTGGTCCCGGGCTGTGTGGTCTCATCCATCTTTCCCGTCCCCAGGATGCCGCCTGCTGCCACTGCTAGAAGGACAGCTGCATCATGTACAATGGCATAGGACTGCAGACAGTTCGTGGATCAGGCACCAACGGGTACGTACAGAACAATCTCTCGTTCGTAAAGCACACCCGTGATAAGGTTAAGTACAGGGACGAGGAGGACCTGAAGCGACTAGACGCCCAGGTGAACCGCGAGCCCAACGAGGAGATACTCGACCATCAGCGCAAGCGCAAGATCGAACTCAAGTGCGTGGAATACCAGGAGTTGTTGCAGGAGCAGGGCCTTTCGCCGGACACGCTGCAGCGACGTGTCGACAGGTACCGCGAGAAGCTCGCCGACAAGCTTCCCAAGGAGAAGTCAAAGCCGGAGCGTGACGAGCAGGGCCGCCTGGTAGCCAAGGAGTCGCACCAAATGGCCGAGGCGCAGCAGGAAAAGAACGCGAGATTGAAGGAAGCTTTTGGCATCTCAGAACATTTCGTGGAGGGCAGCAGCTTCGACCCAAACCGGCGCGCGAAGGAGGACGAGGCACGTAAGGAAAAGGAGTTGAAGAACAAGGAGAAAGCGGCGGTGGCCCGCTCACCGAGCGTCAGTGTCAGTCCCTCTCCCAAGAAAAAGCATAAGAAGGATAAATCCAGGGCCGACAAGAAGGCGAAGAAAGCCAAGAAGCAAAAGGACGACAGAGAAAAGACCAAGTCTCACAAGAAAAAGAGCAAGGACCGGAAGAAGAAGGCGAAGAAGCGACGCGACAAGTCACCCGAGTCGTCCGACTCTGAGGGCAGTCGCTCGGGCTCGGCCGACGACTCTGCTGACGAGGAGGAAATGGCTGAGCGCAACGGCTCGCCGGCGCCGGCGCCACGCAGGGCCAGCCGCTCGCCGGCGCCGCGCGCGCGTCGCTCCCCCAGCGCTGAGAAGCCGATTCGAAACGGCGCCCGCCACCAGAGCGATGACAGCGGCGACTCGCCTCCGCCGACCAAGAAGCCCCGCGCGCGCAGTCCCGAGTCGGCCCCGGCTCGGCAGCGCCACGACAGTTCCGACTCGGAGCCGCCACCGCCGCGTGCGCAAAAGGGTGGCTCGCCCACTGCTAGCCCAGCGAAGGCGGGCCGGCGGCGGCCCGTGTCACCGTCGCCCGCGCCGCGCCGCAGCCCCAGCACGCAGTCTGACCAGGTCGGCAAGGCTGAGCGCAGCAGTAGACACAGCCCCAGTGCCAGCCCAGTCGACAAGCAGACTGCGAAAAGCGGTGGCGGCCGGCGCGGCAGCTCGTCGCCTGAGGCGCGGCGACCACGCTCGCCGTCGCCGGCAAAGCGCCGCTCGGCGCGCCGCAGCCGCAGCTCGAGTGCGTCCTCTGACGACTCCCGCGACCGGCGCGAGCGGCGTCAGCGCTCGGACAGCCGAGGCCGCCGTCGCCGCTCACGCTCGCGCAGCCGCGACCGTCGCCGCTCGCGCTCCCGCAGCGACCGACGCCGCTCGCCATCGCGTGGCAAGGACCGCCGACGCCGCTCGCGTTCCCGCAGCGGGGGCCGGCGCCGTCGCTCCCGCACGCGCAGCCCGGTGCGACGTCGCTCGCGCACGCGCAGTCCGGTGCGGCGCCGCTCCCGCACACGAAGTCCCGTCCGGCGCCGCTCCCGCACGCGCAGCCCGGTGCGCCGTCGTTCCCGTACGCGCAGTCCAGTTCGTCGTCGCTCTCGTACGCGTAGCCCCGTGCGCCGTCGCTCTCGCACGCGCAGCCCCGTGCGCCGTCGTAGTCCCGTGCGTCGTCGTTCTCGCACGCGCAGCCCGGCGCCGCCACGTCGTCGACGTCGCTCCAGCTCGTCGGACCGCGGCGGCGCGCGCGCAGCACCGCCGCCGCCGCCGCCGCGCCGCTCGCGCAGTCGCTCCCGCTCGGGCGCACCGCCCGCGCCCAAGAAGAAGATGGGCTCGAGTTCGCGTGGCGTGAGCCGCAGCTTCCTGGAGAAGCTGGCGGGTTATTCCTTCGAGAAGCCGGGGGAGTCAAAACCGCCCGTCAGCCGCAGCCCCAGCCGCAGCTCGAGTCGCTCGCCTTCGCCCAAGAAGAAGTCGCGCGCTCGCTCCAAGTCACCGGCCAGCTCAGCATCGTCGCGCTCAGCCAGCCCGGCGCCGGCGCGGCCGAGGCGCTCGCGCTCCGAGAGCCCGGAGACCCTGCGGCGTGCCATCTTGGCGCGCATGGCCAGCCGCGAGGCCGATAAGAAGCAGGCTCGGTCGGCGGGCGGCGGCCGCTCGCCGTCCGGCTCCGACTGAGGGTACGTGAGCCGCCCCACCGCCGCGCCTGTACATAGACATCCCAGCCGACTAGCGGCGCTGCAGTTCGGCCGCTCATCAAGTTCATGTGCCCGGCTGGACGGCCGCATGGCTGCAGGGGTGAAAGTGTGAATGGGGAGACGGGCCGTTCCGGAGAAGGGACGCACCCTGTGGGAATGTGCTGGGTCCTTAATTGCGCGGCCGTTGAAGTAACCGGCGGTTGACGCATCCAACGTTCGTGGGCGAGGCATTCACAGTCCCGGTTGAACTGTTCTCACTGTAGATGTCTGTCGTCGTGGGCCGCTCTGGTCAGGCGAACGACCCCTCTGCGTGTAACGTACGAGACCTCCCCGTGTAGCTGTTCGTAAACGCGTTGTCAGCATTTGTAGGTCAAGGCAGACATGCAGCTGACCTTCCGATACTATTATGTAGGCTGACGTGGTGTATTGTGTTGTTTGAGGTACTCAATACACCATCAGATATCATCGCATTGTAGACTGCTTCCGTTTTGTTGGCATTAAACAATGGATATACGCATGGAGCATAAGCAAGCCCTCCGTGCCATGACCTGCCCGTGTTCCACCGGAGTGGAACACATCCGGCCTGACCCGACACCGTCTCATTGCAGTCAGTAAATCGGGCGGCGGACGCGGCCGGTGCCGATCGCGGCGCCGCCTCGCCGCGTCCCCGCCGGCCGCTAGTAGACTCGGAGGCCGCTCATACGGTGGTCGCGCGCTACCACGGCGCACGCGACGGCCGACGCGGCGCCTCTGCGTCCGTGAGGCCGCCCCCATGGTGCCGCCAGACGGCGCGCCGTCAGAGCCCTGGTCGGCCCGCGGCCGGCCGGAACCGGACTCCGCCCGTGCCGACGCGCTCCGGCCCGCGTCGGAGTCCGCCGACTCCCCACGGCAGACTGCGGAGTCTGCTGACTCCCCGCGGCAGACTGCGGGGTCTGCCGACTCCCCGCGGCAGACTGCGGAGTCTGCCGACTTACCGCAGCAGACTGCGGCTTCTGCCGACTCCCCGTGGCAGTCTGCGGGGTCTGCCGACTCCCCGTGGCAGTCTGCGGGGTCTGCCGACTCCCCGCGGCATGCGTCGGGGTCCACTGACTCCCCGCGACAGCGTGCGGGGTCTGCTGAACCCCGGCGGCAGACAGCGGAGTCAGCTGACTCCCCGCGGGAGGCTGGCGCCGGTCCACTGTTGGTGACGGTGGCGGCTGGCTGGCGGGTGGCGGGCGGCCTGTCCGCCGCTCGCACCGTCCGCCTCAGCTCGCCGCAGACGGCACGGTATGTGAGGCCCGACTCCTCCCCCGCCCCACTGACTCTCTTTACAGTGCCGCGAGCGCCACCACCGCAGCCCGGCCTGAGCGGTAGGTATGCGAGAGGAGGCGAGATCTGCTGGGTGGCGTCCGCCGGGGTAGGACGTCGTGAACAGCCGCAACGCTGAGGACGGAGCTCGCCGCGCGGGGCGCGCCGCATCGGTGCGTGGGGAGGCCGAACCCAGTCGTCGACAGTCAAAGGGCTGACATGGTCCCAGCGCTAGTGGTGCGACGGTGGTTTGGCCTTGGCGCACTTTGTGAATCAAGCTTTTTACAGTCGCGGTCTTGAATTAGAACGGCGCCGACTTGTAGTTGCTTATGACTCTGCGTCTCTGGCTGTCGGGCAAAAGATGACGCCCTCGGCGGGAGGGAACCCGCGCGAGTTGTCTGTCCACTTTGCCTTGGAGGACGTGGCCGGCTGAGGTGCACGCGCTGCGGCAGGCAGATGCCGCAGGAGTGGGCGGACACGTCAACGTGCGTGCTGCTGGAGCGCGCGGGCACCGGCTCGGAGCGGCCCGGCCTGGCGGTGACGGTGCCGGGCGGCCAGCCGAGCGCCATCGCCGAGGTGACGCTGCTCTCGGAGGTAAGGCGACGGCTGGCGCTGGCCGGCGCGCCATGCGCACCGCTGTCAGGTCGGCACTCCGGTCACGGTGGTCTGGGCTGCTCTAGCTTAGAGAACTTGCACGCCGAGCAAACGCCTGTAAAAAGCGGTGATGCATCTGCCATGTGTTGACAACTTGTTTCACGTCGATTGAGTGTTTGAAAATCGTTCATTTCGCGCCGTTACTCCTTTATGCTCATTTTGCCTGAATGCATACCTACACGTTTCAGCTTTAACACCTCAAAGACCAATTCCCGGAATTGCATGCGGGCTTAGATCCCAGGTACTCGTGCCCAGGACTGCGAACGGGAACCTCTCCTGTGGTGATATGAACGGGTCCGTGACGCACGTGTCTTCGGGACCAGTTTGGCCGGTGCCAGGTGTTCGGGGACGGCGGCGAGTACCTGGCCACGGAGGAGGCCGAGCTGCTGGACACGGTCGACGACACGGACGTGCTGTGTCTGCACCACTGCTGCCGGCCGCCTGTGCGGCAGTTGACGCTGCAGGTACGGCTCGGCCAGCCGGTACTAGCTGGCGCGTCGTCACGGGCCGCGGGGGCTGCCGACTGTTGGGGGCGCACTGCTGGCGTTGCGCTGAGCGGATTCCACAGCCAAAGAACAGCGGCCACCGCCTGTGCGCCTGCTGGTTGTCACGCGATGGCGTGTCGCTAACTACACGTTACACGGATTTCCGGGGCTGACGCGGCCACGGTCATGCCCATGACGAATAGATGCTCTGTGAGCTAGATCACCGAACGGTACACGTAATGTCAGTGCTCGTGTGCACCATTTTGATCTGTAACGTCCGCTCGTCCCGGCCGGTCAGCACCATTCGTCAGGTGGTCGACAAGGAAGGCACTGCCCGTGGGCGTCCTGTCATGTCATTGGGGATTAACGACGCACTCAGCTGCTGAGGCTATATGGCGTCGCCTGCCTCTCACCCTGGCAGGAAGGGCGGGCACCGCTGGGAATCGAACCCCGTACCTCTGGTTTCCCAGACGCCCGTTTCCCGCGGGCGCCCCCACAGTCCGGTCGCTGAAGCCGTTTCGGAAATCACGGTCGACCCGACAGCCCCTTACAGCGCGTGTGAGCATGCGGGTGGGGCGGGAGCCTCGCCGACATTGTCCGGCCCGCTAGTGCCGCCCGGGCTGAGCGAGTGTGGCAGCTGGCAGGCTGACCGTGTGTCCGTTACAGTGTGTGTGGCCGGTCGGCCGCGGCCAGCTGTGGGTGTACGGACTGGAGGTCCGGATCCGGCCGGCCGCCGCCGGTGTCGCCTTCTCGATGGAGGCCGTGCTGGCGCGTGTGAACGCGCATGGCACGCCGCTCTCTCAGGGCGCCGAGGCACTGCGCCGCGCGCTGCAGGCGCTCCAGCCCGCTGGCTGTGACCGAGCCCCAGCCCCAGCACCGCCGGCACAGCCTGAAGCGCACACAGACCCATCTGGCGTACAGGCGACCAAGGACAAGTTGCAGCCGGCGGCCGCTGCAGAGTGGTGCGGCGGAGGTGGTGAACGTACCCCCGAAGCATCAGATGTGCCGCATTGGCTCGAGCGCGCCGTTCGCGAAAGTTTTGCGCATCTGGAGGAGAGAATGTGGCGGAAGATCACACACAGGTTGGACGAGATCGAGCAGAAGCAGGATTTGATACTGGAGCAATTGAGATTAATCACGTCAAAGGGAGACAAATAAATGTGAAATGCTTGTTATTGGTTTGTGTATTCTCCGAATCGTGCGGAAGGTTTTCGTACGGATTCAGCAATGGACTTTGCATGCCCGCCATGCCATACGCCGTATGTGCCATACGCCATAATGGACATGTCCATTTTTCTGGGGAAAAAACCTTCGATTTAGCATAAAGCGTGGCGCAATATAACCTCAGGAGTCTGTGCCCCAGCACTCAAGGAACACAAAACAACAGCAGGAGGCGTTGGAACCCGCCGAGAAGCCCTTATATTCCACATCCAGCTGCGGTCCCGGTGTTTCGGATCACATTGCATATTGAGTGGAAAATGTGGGAGCATCGGTCACGGCATGGGGGAGAGGGGGATGAGAAGTGCTGCTGACCGGGCTCGACACGTGTGGAGTATGATGTGTACCAGCATCTACTTTTAAGGTGAGATGAAAATCATGAGTGTTGCCTTACCAAATGCCGGTTGTTACGAGTGGGATGTCAACCGTAATTTGGTGACCAATCTGTGTTCGCTACTTAAATTTCGAGCTGAATCATCCAGAAGATACTGGTTAAGCAGTGTGGTGGAGGAAACATTGGGCACATTGTCAATGCTTGATGTTCAAAGCTGTCGTTGCGAGTTGGGCTGCGCAGTGATGCAAAACATACACAGAAACGCGTCTCTTGAATACAAAAAAAAATCCACAACGATTCGATAGTTTAAAATGTTTAGCACAGCGCAAACGTAAGACAAGTTAATTCAGAACCAAGTGACCTTGCCCCAACTTGCACAAATGATTCTCGCATATCCTGGGTGTAAGTAAGGATACCCGCACCACGGTGTCATGAACGGCTCCGTTCAGCTTGGTGTGTAATTCGGAGCACGGTCGCCAGGTGGCAGCAATGGCAGCGGGGCCGCTGCCGGTTCGGCAGCCAAGGGTGGTTGTGCTAGTGTCCCACCGTCAGGGTCGCCAGGCGGCAGCGAGGGCCGTGGCCGGTGTGACAGCCAGGGTGGTCATATCTGTGTCCCACCGTCAGGGTCGCCAGGTGGCAGCGGGGGCCTTGGCCGGTGTGGCAGCCAGGGTGGTCATATCTGTGTCCCACCATCACGGTCGCCAGGCGGCGTTCAGGGTTGCAACGCAGCTGTCTGGGTACTCCGCACCGTGACTTGTCTGGGGCGGGTCCGGGGGCACAGCCAGTCTTCGTGAAGCAAGGGGACACGGAGTCACAAAGGGTCTCCTAATGGTTAAAGCCCCACAGAAGAAGCGATGGGAGGGAGCATTCGAGGGACGCAATTATGTTTGTATATTAAAGTCAACAAGCTGAAGAGACCGGGCGTTAAATGACTGCATAGAACAAACCACCGGTGATGTTTTAATGGCTCATTGGACTTTCTGAAACGAAAGCAGCGGGGGGCTTTGGCGGATTTTTTTTCTGGATTCTACACAGAGATTGAGACCCCTGTGAATGCACATTGAACATCGAAATGGGTTCAGAGTTTTGTATCAACCTGGCCAACCCACTTTCGTGTGGAAGTGTTCAACCTGCGCTCAGAATTAAATACTGAAAGAATACTGAAAAGGTTATCTGGGAGATGAGCGCCATATGACCATCATAGTCAGTGCGCCCCAAAGGTCTCAAGACAAAACGCCCGTCGCTGCAGTCTCCGTAGGCCGCGCGCCGTCGCCCCTCCCCCTCCCCCCTTAACATGAGGGGGCCGACGGGCATAGAAAAACAATGGGAAAAACAAGGGCATTGGAATGTCACCTTGAAAGTTACTGTGCGATCTTCAGATTACCAACAGGGGCGGATTAGCGAAATTATATTGAAATCTGGTGGTGGAAATGGTAAAGGTAAAGTCTATTTTCGTACCACTGTAGCCATCAGTTTGTTCAGAGGGCAACCTTAAAAAAATATACGTTTAAATACGACCCAGGCTAATATTTGGACTGCAAAAATGGATTTTGGAAGACTCCCAAAATATTATCCCACGTCGGCCGCTCTTGCGCGCCCGGGGCTCGCCGCATGGTGTTGCTACAGCGGCCAACTCCGCTCGGTTACGGAAATTGCAACCCGACTGTCAGTGGTCACTCCCTTAACATTTCGAGCGCGCATGTTTAATTTTTAACCTGAAGTATGTCTCACTTCCCGGTTCGGTAACCAGATGGACAGATTCGTGCAAATATTGGTCGCCTTATTTTTATTTTAGACCTCTTCTACCCACCCTATTGACCGTTGAGGAGACCCTTACCATTCTCCGGACATGGGGCCCGTGGATAGAACACCAAGGGCACATAATTTTTCCCGGTAAGGGCTGAAGGGTCATGCCGTCCCAGGGCGGGTGCCTCCGGCTGCCATTTTGGGGACACGGGGAGGAGTATCACTGTCATCCGGATACCAGTGTATGATGGTACATTGGTCCACTTTCTGATGTGGGAGGGAGCCCTCTGACTTTGGGTGGACACCGAATCGACACATAAGTCTTCATTGGCTCAAAAAGATCCTTATCGCCACAGGGGTCGCAGATCAAAATCGCAGAGAGGCTCCAGTTTGAGGCTTAACTTTCAGACTTAACGAACCAGGAGCTAAAACATAGTGGGGGCCCCGCTCGGCACAGGGGCACTTGGCTGACACATGTCCCTTTTACTGTCTCATTGTGGACTCGCATTATAAGTTATCGTGCCTCCTTTCCTTAATGGAGGACAGCGACCGGAAGGCCCTCTGTCATTTCGGGTCCCGACGATATCCTCGTCCAGCAAAAGTCCCACTGTCCGACTCGGAGCTCCTTGCGGACACAGGAACCACTATTCTGCACCGTGGTCCATGACCACACGGGCGCCCCTCATTGTTTCAGGGGTTTCGATCAATGCAAATATCAGACACCGACCTTGTCCGTGCCTGGTTGGGAATGAGCCAAACCGACACGGAGCCGACCGCTCGGCACTGGTGGTGCCTGACCGACTTAAATATTCTCGCCGACTCAAAGGGTCTCGATCGAAAATGACGCCAGCAGCACGCCAACGGCTGGACGCTGCATGGTTGCACTGAGACCGGTCACGCGCCATTCGGTGCGACGACTCGTTCATTTGGCTACGCCGAAGCCACCTTGAATTAGCCGTTGGAGGCGGCCGTAAGGATTGAGGTCGGTTCACTGTAACCCTTGCCGGTCCTGCGCCGCGGCATGGCGCGACGTCAGGGCTGCGTCCACATGTTCATAGAAGGTTTCTTTGGCTAGATGGTCCGCCTATTCTTTCGTCAGTTTTTCTAATGCGTCCCGTAGTTTCTGAGCCACACGCCAACGAGGATGTGCAGACTTTCGGGGGGGGGGGGGGAGGGGGTACAATTTGAAGGTCACCCTGGCATCAGTACCTCCACAATGTCATTCAAATCCTGACGTTTCATTAGCCTTGCGGCGATCAAGTCCAATAAAAAGATACTAGCGTCCTTGAGTTGGATTTTTAGAACAACTTCAATCGACCCTCAGTGAATGTTGTGGAAGGTACGATGACGTTATTATACCATGACGTGTTGAGCATATTTACTGAACAGAGGAATTGTGTTATCTAGGGTAGTCTTTTCTACTTAAAAATATGTCACTGTTTATCAGTAAACTTACTGCATGACACCTGATACTTGCTTCAACGTCTTCAAATGTGGAACATTTCCTCTCAAGGGAATGTTTCACATTTGAGGAGGCGCTGGGGAACGACGTCCGAGTAGGGAGCCTTTAGTTCGGGCGAGGGAACGAGTCGTCCAGCTTTTGCACATCTGACGCCGGCCCAATAGCCGCTGTGGTGCCGGGGTGACAACCACGTGACCTGAAACGCTTTACATACGGTATAAATGTGACTTCATTAGATTATTAAGACTGATGAACTGAAATTGTAATTGAGCTGAGGGCGTACTGGCGCAGGCGTGACAATTAGCGGGGTGTAGCAGGGTGCCGAGTGGTTAGCGGGGTGTAGCGGGGTGCCGAGTGATTAGCGGGGTGTAGCGGGGTGCCGAGTGATTAGCGGGGTGTAGCGGGGTGCCGAGTGATTAGCGGGGTGTAGCGGGGTGCCGAGTGGTTAGCGGGGTGTAGCGGGGTGCCGAGTGATTAGCGGGGTGTAGCGGGGTGCCGAGTGGTTAGCGTGTCGACCTGCCACGTGGGGAGCCCGGATTTGAATACTGGTTGCGCCATGGCCCGTGAACGCTAATATCATCAAGGCAGCCGGTGGCGGCCCGTGCAAGGGGCGTGACAAGTATAACGCCAAGAGGATGGGGAAAAAGGGAGCGGTCCTACCCGTATGCGAGTCAGGAATGAATGGGGTGATGTGGGTGCCAGCGGATGCGCATGCTTGGAGAGTGTGATGGGGCGCCAAATGCATGAGGTCTGTGTGAATTAGTTGAGGACGGGGGTTAGGGTGTTTCCAGGGTCGGTACTCATTGGGCCTCTGCCGCTTTGATTCGCCGGTTGCGTGTGATCCCTGTCATTTTGGGCGTGCGTTCCATGAGATTCAGGACAGTGATTTTGTTCAATTCATTTTGTTCCGTTTTGGCCCCGTTTGACTATTATCACTGGCTGAACGATGGATGTGTGATACCGTGGTTGAGGGCGCGCAACCATTTACGGGGAGACAGGCGTTCCTGGTGCCTAACCGGACGTACCATTCCGCCAGTGCGTCGATCGTTCGCTCCATAGCTCTGTGGCTCATATGTGAGTGTTGATGTCGAGTGTGTTGGAGTCTAAACGTACCGGGTCGTGCACTCAAATTGAGTGTTCCACATTTGTATGGGGCTTTGAACTGAAAAAGCCATCTAGAAGGTTACTCAGTGTGGGTCACAGCCCTGCCCTTAGTAAAACGTAAACCCCCTAGTTTCTGAGATGTGCGTTTCTGAGATGTGAGATGTGTACCCGCGAAGATGTGCGGACTTTTTCGGGGAGACTATTTCACGGTCACCCAAGCATTCATGACGCCATGACAACGTCATTCAAATCCTGCCATTTCATTAGCCATGTAGCTATGAAGGCCAACAAACACAAATGTCATTTCATTG